TCCAGAGATTGTCATAATGCTTATAACATTTTATAAAGAATTTATTTCACCATATTAGGGATGCCTTTTTAACATATTAGAATCCCAAATTAGTTCAGTCAAGAACAATGTAAGGAAAGGAATAGGTTTGTTTAGCCTTGAAGGGAGAAGACCAAGTGGAAACCATGGAGAATCTGAAGAGCATACAGTTAATTGTTTATTGCCTCTTCTACTACTAAGCAGGTAGTATGGAGCTTGTAGTAGCATTTCCAATGTAAATACTCTCCCTCTGCCCCCCAACTAGGTTATTCGTGCAATTTATAGTTAAACTGTGAAGCTCTGATTACTTCCCTCCTCTTTTTTCCTTACTAATGTGGCTTACAGGACTGGTAAAAATACAAGCAATACAGAGATAGCAACTATTTTACTTTTAAAAAAACAACAACAAAAACCCCACCAAATCACCCACTAAAAATATACTTAACTAGGCAAAACAACTGAGGAAAGAAAGAAAAAATAATTTTCTTACCTGAAAACCATCTAAGAAAATATATTACCAAAATAACTTGTTACTTGTGGACTGTCTGTTGGGATTGACATCTGGCTTCATTCCTTTTCAGAACTGTACATACATGCATGTATACATCAATTAACATGTGTACAGTCATGTTTGTTTCTTTGAGATGCCCTCTCTTAACCCCACTCTAATCAGTGCCTCTCATTTCTTAAGCTCTTCATTTTTATATTGGAGAAAGTTAAAAGGTCTAAGAAAGTCTTGGCATCATGGTGTTCACTTACTCTCTGAATACAGCCTTAAAACCCTGATATAGTATAAGGATCTGCATGGTCACAGTTTTTCCTGGTTTTGAATTGCTTATGCAGGCCTTTGGAAAGATTAGAATTGGTGGCTATCAAAATTTTTCACCTGTGCCCATAAGGAAGCCTAAATTGTCACTGTAAAAATAATGTGACCAACTCTGTGCCAAGGACACAGACAAAGGATATTTTAGGACATTTGGGAAAGTTCTGGTTGCAATTAAGTCAGGAGAATATAAAGACAATCTGTAGATATGGGAAAAATAATTTTATATTGAGAAATTTATGAAAAGGAGCAGTCAGAGCTGGATCATATCATATCATATCTGTTGATATTGCCTGTGTTGTTTTTCCTTCTGAATACTGACTTGGTAAATTTTGCCCTGAAGGCTGTTCACACAAGGCTTACATATACAATCCTTAAAAAAATCCTTGCATAAACACCACATACATCTGTTTAATAGGAGCTTTGTCATTTAGACCTTCTTGGTTTATCTGTCATTTATGGTTTTTACTCTAAGTCCTCAAAAATGGTGTTTAGTTTTCAACTTAATGAACATCATTATGGCAGCTTTACATAGTAAGAAGGCATATAAAGGCAAGAAAGCATCGATAAGCAGATTTTACATCATGCTAACAGCTGTATTGGGACAGAGATATATGTAGAGAAAGATAATCTAAGTGGCTAGGAGAAATATAGGAAGAGACATTATAAACACACATGGAAGGGTTTTTTTTTTTTATAAAAAAAGATAGATATACTAGCAAATAGTGTATATCAAAAATGTTGGCTTATTTTGCTATTGGAAGATAGTTTATAATTTACTCCTCCTTAGGTTCAAGGGAACTTTTTTTTTCCTCTCTAAATTACAATCCAGTTTGTTGGCTTTAGTATAAATTCATCATCTGTTTTCTAGACAATGCTGGGTAGGGAAGAAATCATTATACTAAAAAATGTAGCATATGTAGAAGACCCTCATTCTCTAGACTAATGGAAGAATTTAAAATAATGAGTGAAAGAAAAGTATTATATTTAATAAATTGATTCTAACACAGAAATTAATTTAGCTCAACATGGTCATGTTTTCTTTATTTGTAATTCAGCAACCCTTGGAAATTTCATTTCAGTTGTGTGTGTACAGTTTCAAAAATGCAGTCCTTTGTTTCATCTACATGGTTTGAATGGAAATTGACTGTAGAAAATGGTTACTACTTTTAAGAAGAGCAATTATTTTTTAATTCTTCTATAGAAGAAAAATAATTCCGTGCAATTTGCTTTTTGATCAGTATTGGATGATGCAAGATTGTAAGGAGCATTATGCTATCTAATGCTGGGGGGTTTTTATTTCCCCCAGCAATTATGTTTTTCATAGTCTTTGTTTATTCTCTACTAGAGAGCTATAGCCATGTATTTCTGTATATGGAACCCAAGTCAACTGCTGCAGACTTTTGTTTAATGACAATGCAGTTATCTGAAAGTTTTTTTAGCTGCTTCTTGGGATCTGTGCTCTTAGTAGGGACAGGCCATGGTGATTTCAGGAGAGAGATTATTTCCAGATGCATTACATATTCCTGTGCAGAAGTTATTCCTTGCAAAATATTTCATGTATTTTTTTGTCTTTATTATGTTTTGCATGTTTCATTAATTCTCTGTGGATCTTTTTGAACAATTTCAGCAATGCCGATAATGTTGCATAAAATTTGACTAAGCTCTCAATACATACAAGTTGACAAACCTATGCTTATGATCATGAATTCACTTGCACAGAAAATTGCACAAACATGAATTCATAGCCCTGTTTTTGCTAGTACATGTTCTTACTTAATACGGCAGGTACTTGATAGCAGTAGAGCAATGGGATACGATTCAGATCAGCCTGGATTAATTGATACAATATAGTGGAGAACCTTTCTGAATTCCTGGCAAACTGCCCCAGTTCTGGACACTTTATAGGCAATAATTCTCTACCACAGTCCACATGACAGGTTTACCTGTCTCACAATTCTGGGAAAAGGGATGGGACTCTCTAGGACCTAGAGGTCTTCAAGTCTTGGCATTTCCTGATCATGGGCAGTATTTTAAGATTTGCAGTCTCTAAAAATGCTACCCCATGAGCTGAAGTGATTTTACTGTAGGATTTCTGTCATCTGAAGCCTGGGGGAGGACAGCTCAGTTAGAGCATTCAAATTCTTGATCATGAAGGCAAGACCTTGACAATTGTGGGAAGATCCTCTATAACTAGAACGTGGCTCATAGCCATAAAAGAGGAGTCCTGGAAGATGTATATCTGCTCTCTGCTAATTTAGCTGAGCACTAGTGAGTACAAGAAGAACATTTCATATTGCCAACTTGTTTTACTGCTTCTGCAATTATCAGGATTCCCATTTTTTTTCAGAAGCTTTCATCCATTGTAATTAGATTGACACTGAAAATCAGATTTTTTTTTTTCTTTTTTTTTTCTAACCAAATTTGAAAATAAATTCACATTGGTTTCAGTTTGTCTGTACAGTAAAAATCCGGTTTAATCCTATTTTGGCTACTAGTTTCTAATCAATAGAAATTATATATGTGAAGTAAAGGCATTCTTTCTTCTAATAAGCACACCTTTATTCAACAACTGGAAAAGCTTAGAAAAAAATTCTGGGAATGAACCTTTTTTCTGTCATGCTACATTTTCTTCACATAAATGGAATTTCAGCTAATACTTGCTTCCAGTGGGAAAAAATAGGGTTTTTTGATATGTTGGTTTTGCTTCGAAACAAATATAGCAGCTATTGCTTAAAAAATTAGTGGTGTAAAACAAAAACAAAGGAAAACTTTAAACAGTCCCTTTAAGCAAATGAGATGAAAGACTTCTGCAAATAGTACATGTATGTACCTAGTATTGATGAATCAAAACCTTATCAGCTTGAATTTTCTTTTGATTTGTTAACTACCATTGGGCTTAATGTACAGTTTTTGTCTGTATTTGAAAAATCTTTACCTTGTACTACTTTTGTGAGTTAATCATCATACTCTGTTGTTCAGTTTTTTACCACACAGTGACTCTGTGATGTTTAGATTACTTTGTCTTGAATATGAGAAATGAAAAATGAAAGGGGAAAAAATAAATGTGTTGATACTCGGTTGGATTGCACCTGTTACTGGAACAAAGAAAATTTTTGTCTTTATATACCTGGACTCTAGTAAAATATGACAAAGTGTGTTCAATTAAGTCATATCTTGCAGAGTCTACCTAAGTTTAAGGTTACCAACAGTTTATATCTCTGCCAAAGATACTGGGATGATTATAATTGGGTTTAGGGTGGATTTTTATTTTTTTTAATTGGGAACAACATAAATTTATTTAGATATTCTAATCAGATACTGTTGGTTTGATCTCACTGAAAGAATTTCTAATTGTTATTCCAGTACAGCTGTCACACCTGTCACGTACACATACACAAAAAATTCAAGAACAGCATCGAGACCAGTTGGACAACCACTTCTGCACTGACAAAGTTTTGCACGCTATCCCCTCTTCTTTCACTTGAAAAGAAAAAAAAGCAAAAATCCACAATTTTTGTCCATAAACTAATTTCCAGTTCCAAAGTTCAGTTTGCTAGATTCTTGCAGGCTGATTGTGCCAAGAACCAAAACAAGCCTAAGAATGTATTGTCTACTCAGGATTTTTCTTGGTCTCCTAAACTGGGTATCTTTTAAATTTAAAGTTCTACAGTTTCAATCTGAGGTGCACCTTTTTTTTGTGACTTTATCTAAACAATTTTTCTCTGCAAAATATCAGCAATCTAAAAATGTTTTAAGCAATGATAAAATGCCAAGTATATAAATTTCAATAACAACCTACCTTACTCCAGAAGATGAACAATTTCTACTTTAGGTTTTGTTATTTGGTCTGTTCTGTGATGTAGATCCTGCAACAATACGCAACATTGTTGAACCCATTTCTGCAGTCAGGATTGCAAAATAACAGCTATTACTTATGGTTATTTACTATATTTTGGTGTATCCAGACTCTGTAAATCACTCAACCAGAGACAGCATTTAGTTTGACAGCTTCGTGGCTGACCTCTCTCTGTTTCTTTTTAAGTATTTGGCCTTTTCATTCATGTTGTGTAGTAAGGGGTCAACAGTGTACTCTAAGTCCTGATGTAGCATTTACTATTTCTTTTTTTCTTTTTTTTTTTTTTTTTCCTCCCCACAGGGATCACACTCTACAGTCAACCATATGGAGGAGCCTTGCTTGATGAGGACAAAATGTGAGCAAATGCTTAAAATATGTAACAGCTGCAATGAGCAGACAATTGAAACAGTTAATTCAATAAACATGTTTGTTGCATGCAATAGATGTGACTTGATATATGCAATGCAGTTCCACTGAAGCATCTTCTCTTGTCTAGTGTTTATATGTCGGGTCTAGTATTTATATGTCAAGTCTACAAGTTTATATCAAATACAGTTGCATTGTTTAGTAGAGAAAAATACTGAATTTATACTGACTGTGAATTGCAAAGTGTTTGTGAAGAGGTCATGACATTTTCAAACAGGTTAACTGCTTCAAATGATTGTCAAGTTTTTAAATTTTCATTTTCTATAGAGGGGGGAAATATTTGCCAAAGATTCACTTCACTCTTAAGACTTTAAATACATTCTGTTATCTGTAACTCACATATAGTTTCATAACCTGACACATCACCTTGCTCTGTTCCCTAATTAGATGTTGACAGTGTACAACATGTTGTTTGCAAACAGGATTAAGGTCCTAATGTCTAGTGTTGTTTTGGTAAGAAGTTGTCCTTTAAAATGTTTGGACTCAGTGAAGTTTATTTTCCCTGTTGTGTTTTCATTATGCCATTTCATTTCGTATTCTAGAATGGAGAATGTTCGTCAGTGTGGAGTAGCACTATGTATCATGTTGGGTTTCTCTATCCTTACTGCATCCATTGGAAGTGCCATAGTGAAAGACAGAGTATCTGGCACAAAACGCTTGCAGCACATCACAGGCCTGGGTTACAAAACTTATTGGCTTGCTAACTTCTGCTGTGATATGGTATGTATCATGTTGGGCAGCATATGTTCAAGTGTAGCATTTTGACTAGTTAGTCATAAACAAGCAAAAGGAGATATGGTCACAAGATGTAAGATTTGATTTGTGCAGAGCAACAGCTCTTGGCTGTCATGTTAACACACATTGGGACACCATTCCTACTGCAATACTGTCAGATAAAATTCTTTAAGGCAGGAATTGTGCTCTTTGTTTTCCAAAGTTGAATTGTAAGGTAAAGCATATATTTGCTTTAGATACCTATGCTACTTTACAAATAAAAGGAATCTGACTAATCAACCTAGACAGAGAGAATCTTCCACACAGCAGTTCATAGCAGGAGTTTCTGTGCTTTGAGTTGCCACTGGCAAAATCTTTCAGATTATTGGAGAAGCCTGAAGATACTACTCAGCTATTTAAAGGTGTAATTATGTTGTCTGTTGATGGGTAATATGAGAGATAATCATAACTGGTACCTTTTATTTGTGGCAAGATAGCCAGCATGAAGTATTATTTCTGAATTGAAATACACAAAATGACCTAGATCAGAAATGGGTGAAGTCTCTGTCCTGAATGTTTATTTTTCTCACACTAAGAAATTTCTATTATTGTTAACATTTCGAATAGTATTTCTACATACAGTTCGTTAACAGATCTGAAAACCTTATTTTCTGATAATACCACAAAAGTTTTTTTGTTGTTTTTTCCCCCTAAATCTTACCCTTTAATCAAATATAAAGACAGGAATGACACTGAGACCTGACTTCAGCAGGTTAGATTTAGGTCAATATATTTAAATGAAATAGCAATTTTTGTTTGCCTCCTTCAAGTCTGAGAAGTTGATTTTCATTCAGGCCAATAAGCAAAGGCGGTGAAAGAGAATTAACTTTCTCAAGCCACTGCCAGTCCATGGTCACTGATTTTTCATTGGCTCTATAATGGAGCTGGTTTGGATTTCATTTAAGCACGAATCCCACAAATTATCTTAAAATATCTTTTTCAAAGGTGACTCTTAAAAAACTAAAAGTAAAAATTGTCCATTATAGACATATATATAAAAGTGTCTGTGTGTGTGTGTATATATATATATATATATATATATATATAAAAGGCACACATACATCTCCCTTACTGAAAGATATTTTCATAATTCACTTGTGATGAATCTTGCTGTAGAATTAGTTGTGTGTTTGGTGGCAATTTGAGAGTAGGTCATTCTCTTCTGGAAAAGTGATAGAATTATTATTTTAAAAGAATTAAGGTGCTGTTTGTTGATAGTTCACTTCTCAAAGAAGGTGTTTTGGATTGGGAGACTGGTTTCAGAGACAGTAGTGAACAACTGGAGTGAAGTCAACTGGATTATTCAAAGGTAAAAAGATTCCTGGTCTTAGAGAAGGGACATAAACTTTCTGCACCTTGCTTAACACACTGGGTCATGGAAGGAAGGGCTGGGATCTAGCATAGGCAACGCAAACTTGAACTAGCCTGGTCAGGAACAGTGATTTTTGAAACACTCCCTTTTCTCATTCAGGCTATTCTAAATCTGAAACATTAGAGCCTCACCCATCCATGCTTGAAATCAGGATTTTCACACTTGAGCAAGCTTGAAGAGCGAGCACATTTCTCCAAACGTTATTTACTTGGCGAGTCAGTCTTTGCATTCCTTTCTCTGCCATGTCAAATAAGAGGGCTTGGTTAAAAACTCAGTCCTTCATCACTCAGTTTCTCCTTGTGCAGCAAAGTCAACCCCTCATTATTTTCTGCCCATCTCTTCCTTTCAAAATGTTCTCACAAATCCAGCACAGTACTGCATGATCAATCATGATCTGGGAAAGAACAGACGCTGCTTTAAATGCTAATTGTGCTGCAGATCATTTAGGGACACTGAACACATGAATATATGAACTGTCAAATTTGAAATCCCTCTACATATTTTAAGTATTGCAGGCTGTGTCCTGTATTATTGGTAGCATAATCTTTACTAGACCTGCAGAAGTATTTGATTTATGAAATTGCTGTCATGAGAATCAGGCCGTTCTTACTGTATTTATACATGTGAATGGTATTCTTTACTATGTTCAACAAGCAGAAAATGGGTAAGTGCTAAAAAATTTAATGACAGAGAGATGTTTTGATCAGATTAAGCTTGTGTAACCAGAGGGGCAAAATTAAGCTTATTTTATTTGTCCGTGCCTAACTTTTATAACACACCATGAATTCAGGTAAGATTTCTAATAGTAGTTAATGTTTAAAGTTTTGGGGATTTTTTCAGAAAAAAACCCCAGCTCTGTTGAAATATACTGGGACTCAGATGCTTTGTCACTTCTCTACTGTATTTTTTAAAATAGATTCAGGTGATCTGAAAGATAAATCTGTGGAGTGGTATATTTGTATATGGCGCTGAATAAGGTACACTCTGAACAGGATGAGAACATTACATCTGTCTACATTTCACTTCATTGATCTTCTTTTAAAAAAGTATCTGTCTTCCCGTTGGCAAAGAAGTGATGCTCTCTGGTTTAATTTTGAACAGGTTTGCGTTGTACTTCAGTATGAAAGTTAAATTTTAACAGAAAGGAAGTTGTTCTACACTGAATATTTAGCTAGACCTTGATTTGTTGCCTCTATTGCAGCTGCATCTCAGAATCTCAGTTATATTAGAATAAGGTTAAATATTATATAAGCAGAATTGGAGGCACTTCCCTAATGAGCTCAGCTCCAAGGCACAGAGCAGGCAGAAACTGAAAATGGAACTGAGCACAGATTTTCACATCTTGCCATTGCTAGTTGCAAGCAAAACCTGTCTCTCTTGAATACTTAGATATGAATCCCCAATCACATCCTCCCCCCTTAATTATTTGATTACCATTATGTCAAGAGACTAAACAGAGAAAATACTTTCCCTGCTGTCTAATTGCTGTAACTATTCTAAATATTATATCTGTTCTCATTAAAAGTTGTCATTTCCTTCATCAGCACACATGGTCCTTCATTAAAGTATCTCTTAAAACTATATCCTTACTGTTCTCCTATGACTGAAGCACCAATCGGTGAAACTGCTATTTCTGAATCCAAGACTCAGTGTGCACAGTATATTTTGATGTTTTGGAGCAATAGTCCCATATGGACTCATTATCTGGAAGAGTTAGCTTGTTAAATGGATGTATGGGAAAGGTCAATAGAAATGGAATTAAGGGGAATATTCTGTATTTGGATTTTATTTTGTCAGGATGTTTCATGTGTATATATGTAAGAGGGTCGGTTTCACAGCAAGTGTGGACTATGAAATCTAAGATCTCTTCTGCCTAATTCTTCCTAATTTATAGCATAATTATATAGCAAATATGTAAAAGTTAATTTGTAGAGCCCTTCTATGCTAATTAAGTAAGACCGATACAAGATGATCACCAGCTAAGTGCCTTTTTCCCTTCTGTTTCTAGCTGTTTTACATGGTTCCAGTCACCCTGTGTGTTGGTGTTATTAGTGCCTTCCAGCTATCAGCTTTCACTTTCCGAAAGAACTTGGCAGCCACTGTTCTCCTGCTGATACTCTTTGGGTATGTGATTGGAAATGCTACTATGGAATTATAGCTTGTAAGAAACAAACAGAAATCTTTAGACCTGGTTTGCACCTGCTGCTGGATGCATGATTTTCTCTCTTTGGAAATGATTATGATTCAGCAAAAGATAGTGAGAAAACAGGCTGAAACATGAGCTGGAAAGTTCCATGTGGAAGGTGGAGGGAGATTTGCTCACGCATTTTAAAAAACAAAACAAAACAAAAAAGAAAAACCTGGAAATGTCTCAGAAAATACTCAGTCTGTATAACAATCATTACTGTTACAAGAAATTGATTGTATGTTATCTTCCAGAAAATGAGGGAATAATAACATAGGTGAGAATTTCTTTGCTTAGCTGTGCAGAATATCATCAAGAAGGTAAGAAAGTGGCTGTCTTTTCTTATGGTTCTACTCACTTTTGGTAATTATGTAATTTTACATAGCTCCAGGAATTTATATTTCCAATAAAAAGTCTATCCAATATGGGGTACTGGACTGGTTGGAGTACTGTGAGGGAGGAAAGTCCTCCCATATCACCCTCTTGCTTGGTTTCATCTGGAAAAACAGTTATAAAAACTTAAAGTAACTGTTTAAACAGATGATCAGTTTCTCTATAGAAAGAAGGTTGTTGAGCCCTGGGCTCAATCAAACTAATGGTTTTTCTATTCTGTTCAGTTCTTCCTATCTGCAGTCCCAGGTGATGTGAACGATGCTGAAGATTAATAGCTACAGGATAAGTAGAAGTTTCTTCCTTATCTCAAGCAACTAATTGTTGCTATCTTTGTAGAGGGGAATGCATATCTTATAAGACAGATGTTTAAATAATTAAATATAACTGCTCCATGAGAGAATCACAGGGAAGGAAAGTAGAAAAGACCTTTTGCAAGATCAAGACATGTTCCATTCCAGGATGAGTCTCAGATAAACACTTTTAAAAAACCCTTACTGTATTTCATCTTGAAACTGTTTTCAAGATCTCATGCTTCCAGCAACGCGGTTTTTGGAAAACTGTTTTAGTGTCTCCATAGATGGATATATTCTTTGAAATTCCAGCCTAAGCTTATTTGGAGCCATACTTCATAAGTGTCCTTCATCAAACATCTTTTGCAAGCCCAAAAAAATGAAGTCTTCTCTTGTAGAAAGGCTTTCCCATTCTCTTGATAAATAGAATTATCTTTTTTCCCTATAACTCCAGTTTGAGCTCATCTTTCCTGGATGTGAGTGGCCAGACTAGTATGTAATATTCCAGAGTTCATAATGCCAGAATCTTGCAAATAGCTCAGATGAAACATCAAGATTCACACTTTCATCCTCTCTGTATCACTCTTGTCTTTCTTCTTCCCTCTGCCCTACCAATTGATTCTTTCAAGTTAAAGGTAGAAATTCTTAATCATCTTAGTGCAAAGAATTTACACTATTAAATCTCATCCATGGTTTTTTTTTATTAACTTTACAACTGTTGAATCCATCTTGTAATCCAGTTGCGGTGACCCTAGCATAATAGGCATCCACAGAGATCTATAGAGATTTTAGTCAAGCAACAAATGAACTATACAGTACAAACTTTTATGTCTGCTGAATTATGTCATGGTTGTAATCCAGCTGGCAGCCAAACAACATGCAGTCATTTGTTCACCCTCCCACCACCTAGAGAATGGGTAAAAGAATTGGAGAGGTAAAGGAAGACTCAGAGGTTGAGATAAAAGCAGAGTAATAATTGTAATAAAATAAACCAATAACACTAATAGAAACTATTCTAGAAATGGGTAATGCACAATGCAATTGTTCACCGTCTGTGAACCGATACCCAGTCCATTCCAGGCTAGCCAACCCGAAACACCAAGATCCCACAATCACAATCCTGGAAGCAAGAGAACATCCTTCTTTCTGCTTGCCCCTCCTTTATATACTGAGCATGATGTTACATGATATGGAATATTTCATTAGCTAATTTGGTTCTGGTGGTCTGGCTGTGACCCCTCACAGCTTCTTGTACACCTGCACATGAACAGGACATGGGGAGTTGGAGAGTCCTTGATCTCTTAGCAATAACCATAAACATCAGTGTATTATCAGCATTCTTGTCATACCAAGGCCCATACTGAGTCCAAACCACAGTACTATTCTAGCTACTAAGAAGAAAAATTAACTCTATCCCAGCCGAAACCAGGGAAACTGATGGAGCAGCTCATCCTGAGTACCATCACACAACACATGTGGGAACAACCAGGTGATCAGGCCCAGTCAGCATGGGTTTATGAAAGGCAGATCCTGCTTGACAAACCTGATCTACTTCTATGACAGGGCAACCTGGATGAGGGAAAGCTGTGGATGTTGTTTGCCTTGACTTTAGTAAGGCCTTTGACACCGTTTCCCACAGCATTCTCCTGGCAAAAATGACTACTCGAGGCTTGGATGGGCACACGCTTTGCTGGATAAAAAACTGGCTGGATGGCCGGGCCCAAAAAGTGGTGGTGAACGGAGCTAAATCTGGTTGGCAGCCAGTCACGAGTGGTGTCCCCCAGGGCTTGGTGTTGGGACCACTCCTGTTTAACATCTTTATTGATGATCTAGATGAGGGGATCGAGGGCACCCTCAGTCAGTTTGCAGATGACACCAGGCTGGGTGGGAGTGTTGATCTGCTCCAGGGCAGGGAGGCTCTGCAGAGAGACCTGGACAGGCTGGAGCCATGGGCTGAGGCCAACTGGAGGAGTTTCCATAAGGCCAAATGCCGGGGGCTGCCCTTGGGCCACAACAACCCCCAGGGGGGCTACAGGCTTGGGGAGGAGTGGCTGGAGAGCTGCCATTCAGAGAGGGACCTGGGGGGGTTGATTGACAGCCGGCTGAACAGGAGCCAGCAGTGTGCCCAGGGGGCCAAGAAGGCCAATGGCATCCTGGCTTGTGTCAGCAATAGCGTGGCCAGCAGGGACAGGGAAGGGATCTGACCCCTGTACTCGGCACTGGTGAGGCCGCCCCTCGATTCCTGTGTTCAGTTTTGGGCCCCTCACTACAAAAAGGACATTGAATGACTCGAGCGTGTCCAGAGAAGGGCAACAAAGCTGGTGCAGGGTCTGGAGCACAGGTCGTACGGGGAGCGGCTGAGGGAACTGGGGGTGTTTAGTCTGGAGAAGAGGAGGCTGAGGGGAGACCTCATCGCCCTCTACAGCTGCCTGAAAGGAGGCTGCAGAGAGCTGGGGTTGAGCATCTTTAACCAAGTAACAAATGATAGGACAAGAGGGAATGGCCTCAAGTTTCACCAGGGAAGGTTTAGACTGGATATTAGGACAGAACGTGTTGTTAGGAGTTGGAATGGGCTGCCCAGGGAGGTGGTGGAGTCCCCATCCCTGGAGGTGTTTGAGAGTCAGGTTGACATAGTGCTGAGGGATCTGCTGTAGTTGGGAACTGTCAGTGTTAGGTTGATGGTTGGACTTGATGATCTTCAAGGTTTTTTCTAACCTAGATGATTCTTTTATTCTGTGAAGCCATGACATGCTTTCTGTCGTGTGCTTTGGTCCTGCCCACAGTGCAGAACTAAATCTCAGATGCTAAGAATTATGCTGGCCTCATTTCAACCAAATTGTTGGGTTAAACTTTGCATATTTCATAATAAACAAACATTGACTGAAAAGCTAGACTGTCCTCTAAATTTTTTTTTGTTGACTGCAGATGCAGCTTAATCACCTCAGCATAATGCCTCATGTACTGCTCAGCTTTGGCTGACATAACAGATATTATAGTGATTTTTAACAAGGAGGTCTATGTATTCAGTGTGTATTAATGTGTATTAAAGATACAATAACTGTTAGTCAGTAAGCTTAACATGTCTCAAGGACACTGACAAATTCCGGTTGCTGCTCTTCCTATTCTGCCCTTTACCCAACCTAACTGCACAGTAAATTTGATGAAGCCTATTGTGGTAATTTTATCCTTCCCCAGTACCGTGCATGTAATTCATATTTATTTGCATTCGATAATACATTTTTTCCTTTTCAAGTTTTATTTTTCTCTTCAGGGTATACTTGTGCAGCATTTCTGATCTAGAATAAAGATAAAAATAACCTAGTTATATGAAAAAGTTAAGCTATGTGCCAGATGTGGGTGTGCTTGAAAGAATAATCAACAGTTTCCTAGTGTGCTACTTTAAAACTGATTTCCTTTAGAAATATAATGGTCTCTTAACTAAACTGCATTTTTCCTCTTTTAGCTGATAGCAGAAGTCTTTTATAGTGCAACTGCTTAAGCACTTTTGTTCAAAATGCTCTGTCTTTGATATTTACAAAATAACAAGTTATGGCTGAAGCTGAAGGAAAAGAAAGTTAGGACAGAAATGCAGGTGTGGCTGGAAGCTACTTTAAAAGCTTTGTTTGAATATCATGCAGTTTTAGTATTCTGAAAGTCTTACTCATTTCTTAGCACCTATAAGCTTACAAATAAAGTTTTGCTTTCATTTACAGCCAAGTAACAACATTCTAAATCATGTCTCTTTCTTGAGTTGTTTCCAAGGATGGACTTGTCTTGTATTTACGGTATTGTAATTCAGAGTAAAACTTTAGAACAGTGATTTTGGTATGTTCGCAAAGGTGAGAATACATTAAGTGATTAAGGCTTGGCAACGGGATGCTGAAAAGTATAGTGTGATCTTTAATACTTACAATCTTCATTTGAGACCCAAATATTAAGTCATTTAACAAAGTCATTTAAAATTAATCTTCTGGTAAACTGAGGATAACGTCACTATTACTTCACAGCAGGATTTGAAAGTTTGTTTCTTAAGGTAAAGGGTTTCGGCATTCCTAGATGAAATAAGTTCATCTGTAAAGTAAGTGATACTGAATTTAAAAGGGACTTTTATAGTTTATGATATCAACTACTGTTTAATGCAATGAAGAAGTGAATTCACAGATTTTTGGCTAGTTGCTCATCCATTGAACTCACTATTAAAGCAATTATATATACTTATGTTAATATTATGTAAGAATTATTTATATATACAACTAAATATATATAGTACATATGTACTTATCATTGTGCAATGGTGTATGCTACCTATGTTCCTGAAGTCCACTTGTTTGATAGATATGTCTTGTGCTATGTTAAATAGAAAATATATTTCCTTTCATGCTTATCAAATTGCCTGAGCATTTTATTAGTCTGGCTAGACATATCTGACACTTTATAAAAAATATGACTGTTTCATTTTGGATAGGCATCATTTGACTTTACAGAATGGAGGACATCTTCCCTCCTCCTTTAAAGATTTGCACTGAAAATGATGTAACTACGGACATTCTGTCTGATTATCATTGTGCTGTGAAGTAATTCTGCATTAATTTTTGATGGTTACTACTCTACTGACAACCTGGTTTAGGCAATAACAATGCTAACATGATCTCTGGCAGACTAGTTCAAGGATTAATGTTTTTTCCTTCCCTCTTGTCCGTCCTCCCTCCCTTCTTTTCCTTCCTCCTTCGCTCTTTTTTCTTTCAAAAAAGACTCTAATAGAAGCTGATCTTTCAGCATCTATGATTTAAGCTTCAAATATTTGGTTTTAATTCTGTCCCCGTGTAAGAGGGTTTTGCAGTTTTTCAGAAATCAGGGTTGTGATTGGAACAAAGTAAATATATGCAGTTGATATATGCAAAAATGGATCATATCTGTCCATTGCATGGCAGTAACTGTGGTATGTCTATGGGATCATAAGGTAATTTGATAAAGAAAACAAATCCCAGATTTGTGTTTTCTTCTCAATTGATCAAAAGAGTTATTTGCATAACTTAAAAATAAGGAGCAACTATTTTTTTTTTTCTAGTATGATAGCTGCCTTTTTTTTTTTTTTTTCCTGGTAAGGCAAAAACCTAATTTATTTGTGGTAATTTTGGTTTTTCGAACTTTCAGATATGCAACTTTACCATGGATGTATCTTGTATCCAGATTCTTCTCAAGTTCAGATGCAGCTTTTGTTTCTTACATCTCCTTAAATTTTGTGTTTGGTCTGTGTACCATGCTGGTGACTCTCTTACCTCGTTTGTTAGCTATAATTTCCAAAGCACAGGTCAGTATAAACCCTCTGCTTTATGTTACTTGTGAGATGTATGCAAACAGGTGTATGCATGTATGTTGATGAAAATATACATGTATATTTATATATATGCACAGAAAAAAAAATCCATTATAAAACCAGGTGTTTTAAATATTCATGATATTTCTGTCCCAGTGTATACTGTATTGCTTGTTACTGTCTTGAATTTTAGCTTGCTTATAAACAAACAAACAAAAAATTGTGCTGTAATAATGGAAAAACAGTGTTAATTGAAACCTTGACATTTTCCAGACCATTAAGTTATAATTGGCACACAATGGGAGCTGTTCTGCTCCATTGAATAGATTATATGCATTGTAAAATGTGTTTGAATAATATTGACATAAGAGATAAGCTGCATATTCCTAGGATCTGTAATGCACTGTATGAATAGTAATATGCATTCTCACTGTCTGTATGTCATTTTTATTAGTCATAATGGTAATTAAGCAATTTGATGGAGTGGAGATCCAGAATATATATGAATATCTATGCATGTACCAGGTCAAAAAATCGGTGTTTGAAGTAAAATCTAGATTACATGTCACTCAAGTTTGGAGGCAGATTTGGTGTTGACTTGGGTTTAAGTTGGTGATTTAGAATTAAGGGTATTCGAATAATAAAATTTTAAGCAAATAGAGTTTTGTTACTGTCTGTGAACCTCAACTAAAATAGGAATCTCATGGTCCTAGGCAGTCTAAAATACAATCAGAGATGAACCCTGCCCCAAAATAGTTCAAAACATGCTCTTCTGACAGTTCACCTTGAGTGAATTTGAATGCTGTATTTGGCTTTGTAAGTGTGCTTAATATGCTGTTGAAGAAAACTAACCATCTTGGGTTTTTTTTTGTCTTCCCCTCCCACTTATTGAATCTTGATACAGAGTTTTCAGAACATCTACAATATCCTCAAATGGGCATTCATCGTATTCCCACAATTCTGCTTAGGACAAGGTTTAATTGAACTTTCGTACAACCAGATCAAGTTTGACCTGACCAGCAATTTTGGAATAGATTCCTATGTGAGCCCCTTTGAGATGAATTTCCTTGGCTGGATTTTTGTGGAAATGGCCCTGCAGGGATCACTACTTCTTCTTTTACGGCTTTTTCTTCACTGGGATCTCCTCCAGAAATCAAGGTGTGTTAAAATTTTTCTTCTGCCATAGTGGACACTGAACTAATTTTTAGAGAAAGAAAATGGTAGATTCCTTTGAAGACCTGAATGTAAATACTTCTGATAACATGGTGTACCTGAATTAGTGGAAATTGCAGAAAAAATACAAATAGTTGCTGTTTCCCTTGGATTCTGCTGAGATTTGATCACCAAGTTTGAAGGGACTGCAATTGGGAAAATAAACCAGAGTTATCCAGAGTACAGCAATGTCCAATTTACCATGAGTCATTTGTTATTATCTTCTGTTTTAGGGGTCAGTGTTCAATTAACAGCATGGAGCACTCTTCAGAAGATGTTGATGTAGAAATGGAGCGACAGAGACTCTTTTATGGAAGAACTGGTAATGATGTCCTCCTTCTGTACAACCTCAGGAAATGTTTTGGAGGCTTCAGTAAGAACACCACTGCTGTGGAAAGCATAAGCTTGGGAATACGGAGAGGAGAGGTAAAGAGGTCTTGTTTTCCTTTCAGAAAATAACACTTCATTCTGAGAAATTGTTCAGATGTGTGTCTACAATCATGTTCAGGATGTCTACAATCAAAGATCTGTCGATAGCAGCAGAAAAATTTTAATCATAATAATTTCTGAAAACCAATAACTGGACAAAAGCAGGAGCTCTGGTGGTGTTTAAGAAGAAACTGTTCACTTATTTTTGGGTTACAAATTAATCAGAGTCTTACTTTTTTCTTCTTGCTTATCTTTATCAAGTTACTGTTTTATAGGCTAACATAAAAAGCAAGTAGGTAGCATAGCAGTTCAATGTCTAAAGAGAAAGCAGATACATAGCTCAGTTGTAAACTGTGGACTAAATCCTGAATTTGTTACCAAGGCAAACTTGTAGTTCCCATGCTGTAATAATCACAGTATATTTTAATATAGCATATAATATAATAATATATAATGTTAAGAAACTGAAATTTAGCACTGAATATAGTAACCCTAAAGATTTCAGAACAGCATTTATTCGGTGGGGTTTTGGTTTTGTTTTTGTTTGTTTGTTTGTTTATTTGGTTGGGGTTTTTTAATTTCATGATTTTGATGCTTTTGGGAATTGGGGATATTAATTTCAAAAATACTGATAAGGAAAAGATTTTTCTTGGTTGCTAATAGCAGATTGGAAGATATGAGAAAATAATAAGTGGCAGCGCAAGTTCATTGATGGAAAGGATGTTGTGCGTGATTAAAGCCTATTTATCAACAAGGAGGCTCATGAAATGAGTATTTTAAAAGTTATGAAGTGCTATACGTAGACTTAGTATGTCCCCTCCTAGCTTAAGTGTATATTCATTGCCACTAGAGGCCTGAAATAACTGTTCAGAGTCAGTGTGTGTCTTGGATTTCTGGTGTTTATTTACTTGTACAGAGTGAAGCAGCTCATGAGAAACAGAAATATTGACTCTGCAGATTGGTAGTCAGGAGTCTCAAATAGTACTAGAGATCCTCAGATTCAAATCTAGCATTTACTAATAATATGGATAAATAATGCATTTAGTTGCTGTGCAGGGTTTTAATTGGAGGGCTAGAATCCTAAGTCAGTCACTTTTAGGAATTGGGAGGTAATCAAAGCAATATATAGAGATGTTTTAAAAAAACTTATTTCCCATGGGAAAGGGAATTTGCACATACAATATATCTATATACAGATATATGATAGGAAATATGGAGGGGAGAAACTGTTGAAGAATTATTACTTATTTCTTTCAGCATAGCAGATTGATTGCTTTTTCTCTTTTTTTTAAAAATTTTTATCTCTATTAGTGTTTTGGACTCCTGGGAACAAATGGAGCTGGGAAAAGCACAACATTTAAGATGCTGACTGGAGATATCATCCCATCTGCAGGACGTGCTGTTATCAGGACTCCTACAGGGTAAGTAACACAGGGTGTGATCAGAATAGTGCTAATTGATAATGCCAATGATCAAAGACTCAGCACGTCTTCAGTGCTTTATACTGTACTCTAAGGACCTGTTTTCTTCCCTTTTAAATGTATATTGCTTTATTGCTGTTAAGTCTCTGCAGGAAAGCATTTTAGCATTATTTAATTCCATCTGACAGCTTTGTTAATTGAGAATAAACTTGTCTGGTAGCAAAAGAGTAGGGTCTAGGAAGCTTTAAAACACAGTCTTTTAAAATTGTAACAAAAATCTTAGCGTGCATCCAGGTGCATGGACATATATTTTCCCCATTCTGGTGTTGCACTGAAAGGTTTCCAGGCTTAGGCTGATGAGCAGTGCTTCAAGTGGATAATTTAAAAATGTTTCCCGACACTTGTGTCCTTCAGAGTCATTAATTAATTACTTGATCAATACGCTATGTAATTAGGATACGAGGTTAGTGCTGGTGATACTGAGGCTAACTTTGATGGAGTGATAAGTGAATAATGGACTTTTTGTGTTAGATGTAACCAACATTTACCATTTTTCACAGCAAAATTGGAGGGGAAGTGATGTTTTATTCAGGCCAAAGTAAGATCTGTAGAATATATATTAGACACCTATACATAAATGTATTCTGGGCCTATTAACAATTTTAAGACTTCTGTTTTCCTATACATTTGCATTTAAGTGTCCAAAACAACCCTGACAACATTAATTATAACCATGTATTATGATGGTGTCAGTCCAGGTTATGGACTTTTATGTGTTTGAAGTGGCTGAAGTGAGAGTAAAACCTATATTCCCAAGCTTTCAAAACTCATCCCTAACTTGAGAAGGACCTCAAGCAAGAGCTGCAGTTGCGTAGTAGCTAAACTTGGGGAGAGAAACAATATCAAGGCTGGAAAAAATGTTTTATCTTACTCCTGACTTTGTTCCTTGCTTCATATTTTGGCAATTGTGGTTAAACAGATCATGGTGCATTGTGTTGCTGTACTACAGAAAATCACTAGGGAGCAAATTTGTTGACTCTTACATAGGTAAGAATATAAAAACAACAGGGTCTGGAGAACCCTTCCTCAACAATTGAATGACTAAAGTTACTCATCCCAGGGACTATTAGGTGAATTGATTTGTTTTTACACCTGAGATTAATGGAGCAAAGAGGATATCAGGGTAAGAAATCTCCTTTCCTTACTCCAGTAGTGTGCTCTAAAGCCTGGTATGCCTGGCACAGAGGAAGAGAGGGTAGTCAGCTGAAGAAAGCAGTTGCTGGTCACAGCTGACGACCATTTGCTGGTCAGCAGATCTAGACTTCTTTCCTTAAAATCTATATCATGAAGCAGCTTCCATAGAGACATTACCTCTGATAGCGATTCCTGATGAATAATTTGGGCTGCAGCTTAGATGGAAATCCCACCTCTGTTGGAATTGACTGGGAAAAAAAACAAAGAATTTTTGTTCTCTGTGACCCTGAAAGGACAGGGTACTATAATCTGATGGATGCTTCATAATGCATTCTTCATGATTAAATAATGAAACGAATATGCAAAATTATTATTATAAATATTGGAGAACCGAACTGATGTAACTCCATGCAGAGAATCCTTAATTCATAGCAGCTCCTGTTTCCTTGAATAACTGCTTGAAAGTTTCTGTTTTTTAAAAACAAACAAACCCAAATAAAACCATATGTCTATTTTCCTGATTGCTAATTTGTTTGTTTCACTGAATTGAAAATCAATTCAGAAGTGTCTCTTTGAGGCAAGTGCACTGAAAACAGCCTTGAATTTTACAGAACATCTTTTGCACCTTTGGGCAACGCAGGGGACTAGAAACGGAATATGAGCTTTTTCAAAAGTGCATGTTGAATTGCAAAGCAGAATTTTGTGAAGTTCAATATAAACCATCTTGGAGGTATGTGGGGTTATATAGAAAGAGCCTCACACATTGATAATCAAGTTGTATTCAGAGAACTCCTGCTAGATTCTCAAAGAAAATAAGAAAATATGTACTTCTGAGTGGCAGCTACCTTTTGAGCAGGGCAGAAGAGCAGATTCACAACATCTTCAAGTACTTCTGAAAGATTTGTTGGCCTCTAGGTTGTTTGTTTGTTGAATGTTTAATACCACACACACACACACACACACACACACACACACACACACACACACACACACAAAAAGTGCTTATTCCTAAGAATCCAAGAGAAAACTGTCTGTTTTCATAACAAAAGCTTAGAAAAATACATATAAACTAAATGTAACAGTTTTCAATATTACTGAGATTCATAAGAAGGGGTGTTATTAAGCATGAATGTTTGGAAGATGTGGAAATAAAAGACTGATTCTGAAGTACCATCAGCCCCTCTCATAAAGGGTAGAAATATTAAAAGCATAAAGGAAAAGTATTAGAAAGGAGAGTATTTTAATACAATTTACTTACCTGTATTTATAAACCATGGTGCTATAAGACATTAGGACTCTGACTGGCTTTTGGACAACATCCACACAAAAGAGTATTCAAGTTTAAATATGTATAATCGTCAACTGCATGGTCTGCTTGTCATTTAGATTTTTTTGCATTCCCTGTAGCACAGCTGTTCCTCTTTAAGAGTACAAATGGACTCAAATTAGCTTATGTTTAGCTCTACTGCTGTAACTAGATTGCCACCAGTGTGTGAGCTGACTAAATTAAAGCTAGTGTATAAAACTGTAAACATTTCTGTAGTTACTTTTTCTGTCAAATAGCTTGAAGTAAGATCTCTATTAAATATGTAATAAGAAAAACTGACACTTAACAAAGTGGTAAAACGACGGAGAACAAAGTGAGTCCTCATAGTCTTTGAATCTCTGCTGGACTGATGTATCAGCAGATATTTTACATTTTTATGTTATGTTATTTTATTTTTTGAAGTGTACGTTGGCCATTCTTTGTTTTCTTCCCCTTTCCACAGTTGTGTCTAAACTTTTCTTCAGTGACTCTGTCATAAAGCCTTCCTTAACTGAGGAGGGCTAAACACAGCTTGGAAGAGAAAGTGTCAAAATCCTTTTAAGTGTCATGTCAAGATCAATGTAAAATAATGAATTAATATGACTAGTGGTTTGTTTGGTTTTTTTGGTGCTCTCTATTTTGCAGTCTTTGCCATTGTAGTTTGTTAATAGAGTTTAAGTGCATACTTAGAGCAAAGTCTTACCTGTAGTGGGGTGCACAGACGAAGAAATAGATAAGATGGGTGTCAACTTGTTCATAAGTTTCCCCACTGAGGCCTGAAGCATTTGGCAGTCTTACTCATGTAATTAATTTATCTCCTATGAATTTCCATCTTCCTTCTGCATGGAGATCCTCCAAGACAGCAACTCCCTAACCTATTTGAATGAAGTGTCAGTCATCTCAGCTGTTGAATTACAAAGTCATAGGGCCAAATAACTGCTTTCCAAAGAGGACAAAGTAAAATATTTCTTTCTAGCTAGAACGTGGACTCTTTTGATAGTTATGATATTCAGCTTGATAAATAATTAAAAATGTAATTCAAATAGCTTTACTTGAAAGGCAGAATAAATTTACATCAACATAATGGCTGAGATAGCTGTTGTTACACTGTATATCAGTATAATTAGTTTAATTATAACTAAGCTATAGTTACATTAATTATATTTTAACCTTGATTTTTTTATAATGCTAATTGAGCATTAGTATGCACTGAATTGAATGTGTAGTTAAGAGTACAATGGAATGTCTAACTACTTTTGCAATTTGTAAATTTATATTTCATTTTGACTAATTAATGGAATTTATCTCTCTGCAGAAGCCATTGTAAGTACCATATATATCACTGCCTTTATTTTAACTGCATGCAAAAACTGCAGAAAAAGCACACAAAAGTAAAGCTTCCGTGGTTTTGGGTGAGATAGAGTTAATTTTCTTCCTAGTAGCTGGTACACTGCTGTGTTTTGGATTTAGTGTGAGAATAATGTTGGTAACACACCGATGTTTTAGTTGTTGCTAAGTAGTGCTTATCCTAAATAAAGGATTTTTCAGTTTCCCATGCTCTGCCAGGAAGCTGGTGCACAAGAGGCTGTGAGGGAGCATGGCCTGGACAGCTGACCTGAACTAGCCAAAGGGATGTTCCATGTCATAGGACGACATGCTCAGTGTATAAACTGGGGGGAGCTGGGTGGGGCGGGGCTTATCGCTGCTTGGGCATCAGCCACAACAGAAACAAAGCACACAGCGGAGTCAGTAGTGAAACAGTTTTTCCAAAACCAGCCATAAGGCTGATATCAAGGGTACTAAGCTGTCTCTGGAAACTTGAAACTGAGGTGTACCTTTGAATGTCAGCCCACAGATACCTATAAGCTATATTGACAGTAACCACTGTAACAAATAAGAACCAAAACTAGTCTCTGCAATAACCAGCCTAGTATTCTGGAAACTACAGATCCAGTTCAGGCAGGAGAAGGCAACAGGTTTTGTCCAAGATCAGTCTCACTTGTTCCAGTGTTTTGGTTTCTTTTCAGTGCCAGCAAAGTCTTTCTGACTCGTGTGCCGCATGCCACCCCAATGTAGCTTTCAGGGCTAGAATCAGATTTCACGGGTTTCCTTCAAAGCATGAAATAATTGAATTGATGTAAAAGGCCTTAAAATGATCAGTGAAAGAACAACTTTAAATCAAAAAATTTATTCACTCAGAGTCTAGTTTATTATCCTCAGTATCTTGCAAGTCTGGAAAGTTTCTTTCAATCGTACAAAATTCTGTAAAATGAGCACTCCAAACTTATGGAAGCCTACTTGAGTCCTGGATTTTTTCAGGATGATTTGCACCAAAGTATCATAATTCTCACTGTATAAATGGAGACCAAAACACTTGGAAAGTGATGGAATATAATATCTTCAAGTGCTAAACTGTGCTATTTTTTCTTGAGGATGCCATGCGTTCAGTTGATCTTTTCCAAAAGTGTACTAAAAATACATTTTTGCAACTTTAATTTTTTGTTTAACATATAAAATTTTCTGGACATGTTCTGTTTGAGCATAACAACATAGTCTAAAAATGTTAGAAAGGAGAAACCTCATGTTCCATGTTAGTTCTACATCTTAACTTGATCAGGATATCTAACCAAAATTACTAGGAGAATTTAAAGGTAACAATTACTAAGTGCTTTTATAATGATAAAAAAAAGTCCTGCCTTAGTGCAAAAGTCTGTTTTCCTCTCTATAGTTTTTAGATGTTATGTTGGAATTCATTGTGTCTACTATACTATGGACAAAAAGGCTGAGAGGGCTTGGAATCTGTACTTGTATGTTCTTTCTTTATAAAATGAGCTGATTTTTAATTCCTGTATAACTCATGAATTTAAATAAGGCCAAGTGCAAGGTCCTGCACATGGGTTGAGGCAATTCCAAGCACAAATACAGGCTGCTCAAGGAGTGGATTGAAAGCAGCCCTCCAGAGAAGGACTTGAGAGTGGATGGAAAACTGAACATGGGCCAGCAGTGTGTGCTTACAGCCCAGAAAGCCAACTGTATCCTGGGCTGCATCAAGAGAAGTGTGGCCAGCATATTGAGGGAGAAGATTCTCCCCCTCTACTCTGCTGTCATGACACCCCACCTGTAGTTCTCTGTCCAGCTCTGGGGCCCCCAGCATAAGAAGGACATGGACCTACTTGAGCAGGTCCAGAGGAGGGCCACGAGGATGATCAGGGGGCTGGAGCACCTCCATTATGAGGACAGGCTGAGAGAGTTGGGGTTGTTCAGCCTGCAGAAGAGAAGGCTCTGGGGACACCTTATAGCAGCCTTCCAGTACTTAAAGGGGGCTACAGGAAAGATGGGGAGGGACTCTGTAACAGGGAGTGTGGTGATAGGACAAGGGGTAATGGTTTTAAACTGAAAAATGATAGATTTAGGTTAGATCTAAGGAATAAATTCTTTCTTGTGAGGGTGGTGAGACACTGGAACAGGTTGCCCAGAGAGGCTGTGGCTGCCCCCTCCCTGGCAGTGTTCAAGGCCAGGCTGGATGGGGCTTTGAGCAACCTGATCCAGTGGAAGGTGTCCCTGCCCATGGCAAGGGGGTTGGAACTAGATATTTAAGGTCCCTTCCAAACCAAACCATTCTATGATTCTGTAATAAGAATGACCTAATACTAGCATACCTATAATACAATGTCAGAAAACAATCATATGTTTTTCTCTATCTTGAGAAAAAAATTAGCATTTTGCTGCATGCTAATCTATATTTCAGAAAACATTAAGAAAAATATTTCCAGTTTGATTCTGATATGAAGATGTTTGTTAAGGAAGAAGAGGATTATAATTAGTTCAATGAATGGCATCAGATTTTTTTTTTTTTTAATGGGAAAAGCATTTACAGCATATCATTTAGTGAAAAGGTTTTCTGGTATCATGCCATCACAACTTGAAATGTTCATTTAATTTAGACTCATGAAAATGAAATCTGAGATATTAACTGGATTTCACAGAAAATCAGTTTCCAAAGATGAGGGCAGTTTTCTCTTGTAAGATATGTTCTATAATTAAAAATTATGATGTGTTTTTCTTTCATCTATCAGTATTCAGAAAAATTTAGGACCTGGCTAAACAAAACTGAAGGTTGATATCCAGCTTTTTTGATATGGAAATCTACTTGGTTATATCGCTGAGGGAAGAATAGGTATTACCAAAATAGTCTCAATGAAAAAACAGAATCCTCATAAGGTTTTTATTTTTTTCTTCTGCTCAGATTGTTTTCTGCTTTGACAGATACAGAGATGTAAAAAAATAGGTTCATGTGTTCTTTAGTGAATACATTAGGATCTCTTTATCAATAGGAACTCTTTAAGTGTTCACGGTTAGCACTAATGGATAAAATTACAAGATAAGGACCAAACTGAGTAAGAATATGAAATGATCTATTCTCACTGTACTCTTCCTTTATGAAAGCTAAAGGTCAGTGGGTGGGATATGGTTCATCTAAGACTGTGTGCTTTACATGAGGCACAGCACTAAAATCAAATGTGTACAATTAGCACTGGGGTTGCTGATGTGTTTTTATTTCCTGATGCAAACTGTGTAAGTATTGTCTAATATAGTTCTTGCTAAAGAACATTAAATGTCTGTTATTTTTTTGCAGCTGTGCATAATTTATTGTTCTTCATGGTATGGACCCATTCCAGACTAGGTGTTTCTATCCAGCTACAGGGTTTATGCTGAGAAAATGTCCCTGAAATTGCCCCCGAGTGTGATTTGTTCTCTTCTGACTGAACTTGGCATATTACCAAAAGCCCAGACTCTTGTTTCTCCAAAGACAGCAGCTGCACCCATAGGAAACTTTGTTAGTGTGTCTGAATTTTCCTAGTAAAGCAAACCTTAGACATGTCTCTGTGTTCAGCAGCATCTAGACAGCATTTCACTGAGGACAGTGTTTCACTATTTGGAGTTCATTAAATAAGGAATCCACTGTTTCTGACAGACTGTGAAAAAAAGATAAACAATAATAAACCGTATCTTATGGTAAAGATTACCTTAAAAATAATGTAATTTGATTTAGGTATGGCTGGAAACTGAGCTGGTAAAAATTCTATAAAAACTTTATTTAAAATAACCTGTAAGTGGGTATAAATTGATGAGGATGCACTTTTGGTATTCTCTTTCCCCGATCGCCCCTTTTCTTTTTTGCTAAGTCTTTGTCCAGAGAGATGTCTACAGTCAGTTAACTTCCTTGGCACCATCCAAACGTCCATGATACTAAAATTTTACATCTTTGCCATTAAGAGCAAAGGACCATTCTAATTAGTCCCCAGCAAGGTTTGTCATAATCATGATTATTTACCTTTTGATAGCTTTAAAATATATTGTGATGCTGTGGTTCATTATGTAAAATGCAGAATTTGTGTTTTCTTTTTCTCCCCAGACTCTTGAATATGTTAACAAGAGATACTTATTTACATTTTTACTAGTTTTGGTTATTTGTATATCCTGCATTTAATACATTTACTTTGTGTCTAAATGATTAATCATATCTTTGGTTCTCTTCTTAACCAGAAGTGTAGAAAAGTACTAAGGGGAAAACCATTCTGTTATGCAGATCCTTTTAAAAACTTTTTTCTGTCAAAGTTTAGAATTTTTTTTTATTAGTAAGTATCTTAATTTTGACAGGTCTTTTCTGTATGTGTAAATCAGCATCACTGAATGTTGAATTAGATGTTGGAATAAATAGGATAGATTTAGTGTCATTATGTGTAATGAGACACCCTTGCAATCAAGCTTGCTTCTTAGCAATGAATGTAATTTCAAGTAATGTTGTACAGCTAAAAAGTGATGGCATAAGTCTCTTATATCAGGATCATTTTATATTTTTTTCTGTATTGTCTTTTAACCAACAAAGTTTTAATATTCTGTGTTTTGTTTTACTCCTGTTTAGAGAATGTATGCATGTCTATGTGTTAGCACAGACACACAAAGACCACACAGAAACATTTCCCTCCCTCTCTCTTAACTACTGCCCCTTTAATATTAAATGTGATACACCCAGTATGGCTTTGAAATGTGTCTCCTTAGAGCAGGGTCTCCCAAAGAGATAAGGGAGGTAAACCTGATGGGAATTAATTCTCATAGATCTGTCCTTCTGTGTTGATCTGTTCACCTTGACACACACCTCGTTAGAATAGCGATGCATAGGTGGCAGTGCTCATCTGAGAGGGACAAAAAGCATGCATTGCATGTAGGTGGTACGATGATGGTAAGTGATCATCGAGAAAGATTCATACTCATTTACCTATGCAGCTGAGGGCGAGTATGTTTGTCTTGAAGACTCTCTATCCTAAGGGTTTTTTTAAACATCATTCAAGTCTTTTGCTTTTGCTTTAAACAGGTCTGAAATGGATGTACTGTCTGCTAGCTCTGAAGGCGTTCTCATCGGCTACTGTCCACAGCAAGATGCCCTGGATGAACTTTTAACGGGTTGGGAGCATCTTTATTATTACTGCACGCTGCGTGGAATTCCAAAACAGGATATCTGTAAGGTAATTGTTCAGAACAGATTTTCAGGGGGAGGTGAAGCAAGGTTGAGCTGTGGAGTTTATAAAATATTCGTACGTTTTCTACATGAGAGAATATCTGATATGTCATCTTAAAAGCATTAGTAATAAGATTTTTCATTACTACTACTTTATTTAAACAATATGGAGCTTTTTTTTTGTGTCTTTTATGCCAGTTCAAAACACAATAATGTCACTGAGGATAGTAAAATAACAGTAACACAAATGAAATCTCTGGCAAAACACTCTAAAGGAAAGGAAATTTATGAATGGCTCAACACTATTATCACACTTAGAGAACTGAGAGGCAACACCATGTGTTCTGAGTCATGCACCTCTGAAAAACTCTTTTCAGAAATGGGATTAAACTCTGAAGGAATTAAACATTCTTGAATGATTATATAAATAGACCAAACATCTGAGTGCTAAGATGGCAGCTGTCAGCACTCCACTAGTAAATGTCTTAAACTTCACAAGTTGGTGACTGCATTTAAACACTCTGTGAGCAGTCCCTAAAATATTCCAGCTGCCATACCAGGCCTGGGGGTGTCCAAGGAGAGCAGGCCAAAGCAGTGTTAGAAAGTGCTTTAAGAGTTTACTAGCATAGAGATGGTAACATCTGGGAATGTTACCATGAGGTTTTGATTTTAAAGATTCAAATGTAGCTGTGGCTGACCAGCAAGCAAGCACTCTTTTTCTGTAATGAGGCAATCAGTCAGCCAATACCAGAAATTAGATACCAAATGGACATAGTGTAAAATGTGGGGCATTTCTCTGTCTCTGCAGATGGAAGATTCTGATCTGACCTTTTTTTCTAATCACCCAGCATTTTCCTGGCTATTTCTTCAGGGTATGCTAAGTGGTTTACAATCAATTCCTTGTCTGTAGATGAATCACAGAATCATCTAGATTGGAAAGGACCCTGGAGATGATCTAGTCCAACCATTCACCTAGCACAGTTCCCACCTACAGCACATCATTAAGCTCTAAATCAACCCTACTCTTGAACACCTCCAGGGATGGGGACTCCACCACCTCCCTGGGCAGCCCATTCCAACACCTAACAACACGTTCTGTAAAGAAATACTTCTAATATCTAGTCTGAACTTTCCCTGGAGCAACTTGAGGCCATTCCCTCTTGTCCTATCGCTTTCTACTAGGCTAAAGAGGCTCATCCCCAGCTCTCTGCACCCTCCTTTCAGGTAGCTGTAGAGGGCGATGAGGTCTCCCCTCAGCCTCCTCTTCTCCAGACTAAACCCC